CTTGTGGGTGTTCTGACCTTCTCATTTATGTCTACAGTCCTCAGTAATATGTGGAGGACATACTTAAGCCGATCATAAATAAGCTATTTACTAATTACTACTACTACTATTACTACTACTACTACTACTACTACTACTACTACTGCTACTACTACTACTACTACTACTACTAATCATAATAATAATAATAATAATAATAGTAATAGTAATTACTACTACTACTACAAATAATAATATTTTTTTTTTAACGTGGCCTCCAGCCTCCCCCAATAGCCACACCTTCGCCGCCATTTTATTACCTTAAAATTAAATATCCTAATACATAAGTAGCTACCCTAGCTGTGTTGAGTTAGTTGAGCCACAGATCTATGCGGCATTCAGTGACTGTTGCCTCATAGTCAATATCTGCAACTGTTGTCGGCTTTGGGGTCGATGCTCTCGTTCCCCTGAGGCAGAGCAAAGCAGACCTAAGGAGAGAGAAGGACAGTCGACATCTCATCCAGGTTGTAACATAACTTCTGGGCTGCTGTTTCTGTTCTGGTCTGGCGTAGAAGCATCTTGAACTTGGTTGTGAACACCAAAGGAGTGAAGATGCCTTGATCAACGTTCTGAATTCTCTCCCCGTATTCCCTATCTTATCGTTCTCGTTCCTCCTGTGTGCAGCATCGAGAGCTAAGTTACAGTGACATGCGGCCATGGGATAAAAAAAATCCTAGTAATTACTACTACTAATAATAATAATAATTACTAGCACTACTACTACTACGAATAATAATAATAGGAATGGACTAAAAATTTAAATCAATTATTTAGTAAAAACTTTCATGACAAATAATATTTGCCCTTGGGAGTCGTACCTCGTATTGATTTATGTCTCGTTCACAACGACTGTGTTCAACGGGTCAAGCCGCTATGCAGTAACACCTTCACCTCCCGGTCAATGTGTCAAACTGCCCTTGAGTCATGTGTTCCTCGCCCCCGTCCTCTCCCCCGTTACCATGCCAAGCAGTCAGGGAGACTCTTGTCACTGTGTCAGTTACGCTTTTAATGACAAGTCACCGTGTCAAGCAGCCGGGGAGACACAGGTCCATAAGCTCCTATCAACAACTGCACCGCGCCAAGCCAGTCAGGTTCAACCGCAGAAGTTGTTACATTGAACCAAATCAATACTCTACCAATATGTGAACCAATTGTCTGTAATTATTTTGAAATTGCCAAAGGATAACGTTCATCTGATATGCAACAATAGTGTGTGTGTGTGCGCGCGTGTGCGTGTGTGTAATAATTAATGCGTACGTGTATGTGTGTGAGTTTGTATGATGTGGTTTGGTATTACCTCGTAGAAGGAATGTTTTTCGGCAGAAGGATTAGGCTACATGTTGGCATATATGGTGTAGAATAATAGATATTAACTAGAGTTCGTGGGACATCGGCATGTGATTGGATGAAGATGACATGGAAGAAAAAGATGATAGGTGATAATAAAGAACAAGATACGAACAGGAGAAAGTTAGTTAATTGTATACAAGAGCGAATTGTTTACGTGCATGTGAATACTCTGTAAATAAGTGACCAATTCCATAGTGTTCTGTTGCCTATCAATATGGTGTATAACAGAGACAGCATTCTCACTAGACTGCGTGTATTATTATCATGTAGTGCACCATTGCATCAGACACAGGACTACACAGCTGTTTATGATCTAATACAATGTAGCGTTGAGCAGTGAAGACGATACTTGTAATTCATAATTAAAAAAATTGTGAAAAGTCAAGATGTTTTTAAGCTTATTAGAGAATATGAAGGTCCAGATTTAACGAGCGAAGTTTTTAATAATAAAACTGTTTTTACTCAGATGATTCAGCTAGGGGCTCTGACTTTGGGTGAAAAGGTTTCCTCACTGACTTGGTTCAACGTCATCATAGGTGTATTTTTCGATAGCTCAATATCTTTAAAGAAGAGAAGGGATGTTTGAAAATAATGTACAGAAATATTGATGGAAACAAGATAATGTGTTGCTAACAGCTTTCAGTCCCTTCTCACACAGGTCAGCGTCTCACTTTAGGGTCAGAGGTAGTAGTTGGCATTTCATTTCGTTCAGGGAGCATCGATAGGGGTGTTCTGATCGATTAATATTTACTTTTTGATGATTCACAAATTAGTTAGAGGTCATGCAAAAAAGGACAGTGAGACTTACTTATACTACTAATTGCAAGCGTAAGACTGAAGTACAAATTCAATATTGTTAATACCAATGAAAATATAAGAATCTTTCACCAACAAACAGTCTCATATCAGGTAAGAAGTGTTAAGATATCCACTAGTAAACCCAATAACCATTTACCTGGAATTCTACCGGATGTGATGAAAACGAGGTAGAAGAAACAAGACAGAGTAAAGACAGACATAGAGACAGAGTAAAGACAGACATAGAGACAGAGTAAAGACAGACATAGAGACAGAGTAAAGACAGACATAGAGACAGAGTAAAGACAGACATAGAGACAGAGTAAAGACAGACATAGAGACAGAGTAAAGACAGACATAGAGACAGAGTAAAGACAGACAGAGTAAAGACAGACATAGAGACAGAGTAAAGACAGACAGAGACAGAGTAAAGACAGACATAGAGACAGAGTAAAGACAGACATAGAGACAGAGTAAAGACAGACATAGAGACAGAGTAAAGACAGACATAGAGACAGAGTAAAGACAGACATAGAGACATAGTAAAGACAGATATACTGTACATCACTTATTACCAAACACTCATCCATATTTTCCCTTCTGCACCATTCAGTGACTTAGAAATGATGCCTTTAGAATTCGATGTCTAAAAAGAGTAACATTGTAACTAGGAACGTGAGGAAAAAACTAATACTCTTTACCAGGCGTGTGATAATGTACACCTGCCAGACGAGAACTATCGAGCCTTCTAAGAGCCTCATCATTTTAAGTTGGGAGAACGACTATAAGCGTGGGCCGGGGAGTGAGAGGCTCCGTCCAGCTCTTCCCGGAGAGAGAAATGACCGTGTTTTGTGGCCTTACAACATTATCCCGCTTTTTTCCCTCGCCTGATTTCCATCTCTGACACAAGTTGTGGTACACACGCCCCGACAGCTGCCGTTACTCTTGGTAGAACCTATTGTCGACTTAAGTCTTTCCTGGTGAGTGATAGAGGTTTAGGGTTTATGGAAAGAGTTTTTGTTATTCACACATTTACGTAGGAAAATAGGATAATCACTTTCTGGAATTAATTTTTATTTTATTTTATTTATTTTATTGTATTTTTTTTTAAATAACGAAAATTTATAAGTTTTAGTTTCAGTAAATAATCCCATCTTATATTTTATCTCAAGAAATACAAAAAAATGGCAACACATGTAAGACATCAATCTCTCTGTCGCAGTTTGGTTTTCTAGTTAACAAAAAAGTATCGTACATTGTATATCTAAAAAACTGAACATGGCTGACGAGTTTATGGAAGGGAGTTGAACCTTTGATCTAATCACCGTAGAATTTATTACCGATGTCTCGCAAAATATTCTTGAAAAAATTTTTGGACACATTTCGCCAGCCATCATATTATAGCTTAACCATATTTCACCACTCATTTTTCATTTTCCATTATTGTAAATTTGAAGGAAAAAATTATCACTCGGTGTAGATTTTGTCCTGAAGGAGAAAATAATTAGCTTTCTAAAAAAATTTAACTTTTACTTTTTAGAGTCAGTCCTTCTAATTTAAATCTAAAGAATTATATAGAAAAAATACCCGAAAAGCTGAAGTGTGATTTTTAAATTATTTGTTCAAGAATTTTTTCCGTATTTTTATATTTTCGTTTAATTTACCTGAGAAACTAAATGAATTAACAAGCTCCTGGGGATGTGAGAGAATTTTCCCGTGTTTGATTAAATAACTGAAGAGAAAACTGTAATATTTGTGGTTTAATGAGAGAGAGAGAGAGAGTTATTATCAGCTTTACTTTATTTCCTAATATGGTTATTACCAACAACGCCGAAATCATTTCCCGAAATTACAGAAACAATTCAATCGATGCTGCTCCTGTTAATTATTATGGGGGGGGGAGGGAGGGTTGGTGGACCGAAAGTTGGGTAGCTTTGCCCTGAAACATCAAAAGCCTTAGCAATCTTTAATCACTTTCGCGCCGAGCTCCATCTACTAGAAAGAATTCGTTGAATTACTGCACTCTTTTATGTCGCTAATGACATATTCAAGTCTTGCAGGTGCAGAATTCTTCCCAATTAACTATCCAGGTAATAATTCCAGGTGGAGTTTCTGCCATGTTAAGTCTGTCAAGTACTATCCAGGAGCACAGTCTTCCATGTTTGGTGTTCCATAATAAACGTTTCTAGAATGTGTGGTGTATATTCATGTTGTTAATATGTGTAACTCTGGAAATTTAATATTTTCTATGAAGAAAAAAAATAATGTTCTTTATGATGAATTTACTTCCATGAACAGAAATGTTATCTCAATTGACGTCTGCTCAAAAACATAGGATTACGGTGTTTTTCATAACGAAATACGAAAACAGTAAATCGTATCTACTAGCGAACCACACTAGTACCTATATACATTCTACTGTACCAGCCTTAGAAATTTTTAATGGGTCAAGGTCGCATCATTTACATCAGTGTCGGTTACCTTAAATTATACCCGCTTTTCGACGTCTTTATACATGGTCAGCTGTAGGGCACAAGTAAATGGCAAATATTATAGTAGAATTCTAGTAACATATATGAAAGCCTTGCATTTCCAACATTTATAGTGTTTTTTTTTTTTTTTTTTTATATAGTGTAAAATGTCCCTGCCTCCCTCCCTGCCTGCTCCCTGCCTCCCTCCCTGCCTGCTCCCTGCCTCCCTCCATTCCTGCTCCCTCCTTCCAAACTCACAGTGTCTCAGGAAGCAGGCAGGGAGGGAGGGAGGCAGGGAAATTTTTCCTGGGACACCCAATAATATAATTTGTTTCCACTTACCTTTATCGGGGTAATAGTTGAGGATAATTGGGAGAGACAGGTAGAGGATCCTCATAGGCGTGAAATTTCTGATACTTGGTGACATTATCGCCGTAAAGTGTGTCTTCCGCGGGCCATCCAGACACAAGGTGAGCAGGTGGTGTTGCTGAGGTGTTGTTTGATAGGTTAAAGTCCGGTGAAACTTATTGGCGGTTGTGGCGATAATTGATTTAAGAGTTTTAGGTACAATAATTTACAGTTTATTTCAATGGTTTCTAAGTTAAATTAAATCGATTATTAAGTGAAAAAAGATGACATGAATTTACACGACGCATTATTCCGCACCGGCATCATCATCATCATCATCATCACCATCATCACCTGTCAGTGTCACTAATTCCCGATAAGACGACACTTCTCGCTTGGTCGCAAGATGCAAAGACGTCTGTAGTCCAGCAGTCCTGAAACGAATGAAATGTATAATTAGAAAACGTTACTTCAATCACTGAAACACTAAAAATCGTGATTGGTTTTCGTAATTGTAGTGTAATGAACTACGATGCACGTGTAAGGTAGAGTGGAAGGAAACTGACAAAAAAAAGAGTAAAAACTTCAAAGATATCGAGGATGAAAGCTAAGGAAACGAGGTGTGGGTAGCAGTGCGGAAGAAAAGTCGGAAGAGATGTTGGTGTTCAATATCCAGAAAATATAGTTCCCAGTAAGAGTAAGGATTATATATTGTAAAAATAACTCAACATAACATAATTAAAGTGATGAATATAGATTAAAAGATGTACAGTATATCAGTCAAATGCCAACATAAGTATGTCAACTAATTACTTTGATGATTATTAAATAAAGAAAGTGAGAATGATTGAGATATGTTCAGGGCTTGTCATGATGCTTGAAGGAAGAGATTTGTGAATGAATAAAAGATGAAAAATGTTATTAAAAGTGACAGACAATTCCAACAAATGATAAATTACAGATTACATATATGATTCTTTGCTATTATAATGGGTAATCTCGTGAATATTGAAGGTAAATATGGTATTTGAATTATGGTTTATGTGGGTGTAATAATTAAAATAATAATAATTAACGGTTTATTGAAAAAGTCGGCAGCCCGAAGGCTGAAAATATACATTGGACAAAAATGACTTATTACATACAAAGACATGGGGTGGGTGGGTCGTTTAACAAAAGCTTTTATTACTGAAAGAAGAAGGAACATAAATTGAACATACAAATTTTTATAGTTTACAGTTGATGGCCCGGGCCTGGGCTGGTCATGGAGATACCAGGTGGTGTGGTGTTCACTTGGTGTAGTAACTCGTCCTCGGGTGTTGATATGAAGGACCTCGCGTGGTCATGGGGACACCGGGTGGTGTGGGGTGGTCGGTACCTCGCCCTGCTGGGTGGTGTTGTGTTATTTCGTTTTCAGGTGTGAAGCCGACCCTCTGTTGCTCCCAGGGTGGACTGATTAGCACCTCCTGGTCAGAAGATGGCGGTCAGTTCCCAGGGGTGCTTATCCCACTGGTGGGTCACGGCTCTCACTGGTACTGTCTAGTTCTGAATTCACTGGCATAAACACTGTTCATCACTGTTCAACACTGTTCCCACTTCTTCCCGAAACGAAATTGTCACTTTTGATTATGTTGATATCCCGGTGGTGAGGATGGGTCGGGGAGAGGGACTTGGAGAATGGGCCGAACATTGGCCAAGGGGGGCAGCTGCTCAGCAGGAGCAGTGCCTGAATAGGTCTTGACCCTACGGTGGTCAGGGATGTGTGTGTGTGTGTGTGTGTGTGTGAGTAAGTGTGAACCTTAGTATATGTTAAAGTTCCCATAACACGGATTTTTTTTTTACACGTTCTAAACTAAAGTATCGAGACAACACTGAACCCTTAAGTTACTACACAAGGTTGAGCCCTCAAAGACCTCGTACGCGTTACTCTCCTCCGTCTTAATGGACAAATTAGAATGGATTAACATGAACACCTCACTTCAGCTATGCCACGAAAACTGGGGGTCAAGTGCCGTGTAAACTTCACTCAGAATCTATCACGACCAGAGGTGTTGTCTTCTCTATGTCAGCAGTTAAATGGACGGACGATATTTATGAAGAATCTGACCTAAAGGTAACGATATCCTTAAGAAGTTACACAGGCAAATTGTATATTTCTGATACATTGTTCTGTGAGATTTAACCAAGAAATGTAAATGATATTTGATGAAGAGACACTTTGAATTATATGATGACGATTCGTAGAGTATAGATGAAATAAATGGATAAGAAATTGAATAACTATCTTGATCAGTATTAGAAGGTAACAGTGATGCCTTACGTCAGGATGGTTGTCTCTTGTTGTTAGTGGAAGCTGTGATCGGTGGTCTATGGAGAGAAGCTGTACTGGGATAATGGCTTATATGAGTAGTGGGTGAGATAGAGGAGATAGAAGAGTTGAAGCAAAATTCCTGGTACACTATATCCCAAAGTAAAAGGAAAGAGTGGCAGCTAGTTAGTACAAAGTGAACTGTTGGAGGTATTGGCTAAAACTATCGCAAAAAAAATACATATGCAGTATGAATAGTAAGTCTAGCACAGGAAGAAGATTAGTACAGTGCAACAGTTGAGGTGAACATTGTAACAGTGAGATGTTGTATTAACGAAGGAACAAATAGATTCAAGAACGATATATAACTGATACAGGTGGAGTTGGAAGTTGGAAAACCGTCTTAGTTGAGTACTGGAGTAAGAGGATCGGGAGGAGGTGTACGGGAGAGAGAGGGAAGAGACCCGTGGAACAACAAGAGAGTATATGAACCAAAAGAAGGCAAGAGCAAAAGATTATTGATAAGAAAATCGAATCTAGACTGTAAAATCCATCTGCATCACCATCGTGGCTACTTTACCATATGTTTCGTTATCCTGTTCTAAGTACTTGTTGAGGAGTAATCACCTAATTGTATCAGGGATTAATGCCTACCACACCTGCTGTAAGAGGATGTGAGTAATACCTCCTAAGTGAAGGATGTTTGGAGGGTCGTGAGAGAGAGAGATAGAGAGAGGACCCTTATGTAATTCTTATACACTCCCCTGTGATGTGTTATGAGAGGACAGCTACCCGAGGGATGAGTTAAGAGGAGGAGTCACCATCAGCCCTCACACTGATGGGTTATGAGGAGCAGCCACCATCACCAACGCCTCATTGTTAGGAAAGATGAACAGCACAATTTCCTGTGTTGATAAATCCTGTTGGTTCACGGCCTTGGCTGACGCTACTTGCTAATAATTTTAGATTTAATGCAAATTGCAAATTCGGGCTTTCAAGGCGGTAGAGATGATCGTCCCCAAGCGTAAGGGGCAGCCAGGCATCTGCGTCTCCCCTCCCTACTGATGTTCCTCCAACTCACTTCCTCTTTATACTTGTGTTATCAAATGTTATTTTTTTCCTTTAATCACTGTATAAAGCTTCATCTTTCTGGATATCTAAAGGTTTTAAACGTGAAACAGGAAACAGTATCACCTGATATTTTCTCTTTCACCAATTATTTGATTCTAGTTGAGATCTGTTTATTCGTTTTTGTACCAAATTTGATCACAATTCTCTTATTGGAGATTTTGCCTTCTGGTGCTGATGAAACGTAGTCCAACGCAGTTATGTTCTATCATTTCAGTACATATTGTCCAGATTATTAAAATTTGTTTAGCTATGATTAAAACATACAGTCCCACCTCTTTGCCTCCTTTTATCGGGTTCTGAGGTAAATCCCTCGCATCAGAACACTTCTTTCATCTGGATTTAGACGAAACATTATTTAGACAAAACAAAACATAAGCAGCTTTACGGCGGTCATCAACTAACATTAGTTGAGGAGACTTCCAGGTTCTTATTGATTTAAAAGGCGAGTGCAAACGACGCGCTTACCTGTGACGCCGATAACTCCACCAACGAGATACATTTATGTCTGGCGGGTCAGAGTTGTGGGTACTCGGTGCAGCTGTGACCGTGCAGCACAGTATCACACCAGATGACGCTGTTATTAAAAGAAATTCTTACTTTTGACAATAACAGGAACTAATGGTGGAAAATAGAGTTAAATTACTGGGCAGGTAAGGACGAGGCCGAAGTAGTACTACAAGGGAATTAACGGAATGATGTCACCCATGAAATACATTGTGTCCTATCACTTTGATATCCAGCGAACACAGTACTGTAATTAGTAACTTGGATGACACTTGGTACCGAATTTGCTTTGTCTGTACTTTAGATAAAAATTTAAATAATTTTGCAGGTTCCAGTGGGTCTAGTTACCTTTGGTTTAGCAAGGTAACTTAATCTATTAGTGTTGTTGACTATATAACCTAGAAGCAACAGATGAATGATGTGGGATGTCACTGTATACTTTCGCTCCACCATTCTTTGTCAGCTACAGTGTGTTATCTAGCTGTCTTCATAGTGTTTGTTGTGTCATCCATATATCATTAAGGTGTTTACAGTGTCTTGCAGTTGTCATCATGGAGTTGACTGTACTATTATTCACTTAAAAAAAAGGTGAATCAAGGACATTATTCACTGCAGCAGGGAAGGGTTCGTTATACTCATTTCCTGATGGGAGAGCCAGCCGTCCACCTCACCACCGGGAGTGTACACAACCAGGGTTCATCCATCAGGCACTTGACTGTTAATCGGAGTTAATCAAGCAAGTCAGCAGAGGTCCAGGCCCGTCGGGTGGTGTACACAGCCGGGTCAATTTCACTGAGGATCCTGTGGTTTATAATTGTTTAGCGTTCCATTCCCGAAGGCGACTCGTCGAGGGTTTTCAATCTAGCTGTTTTAATTAGTAATTAGCGTCCCTTGCTAAGAGGTACAGCATCTCCCTGTTCTCATAACACAAACAGACGTCAACAATGTCATCTGACCTATACATATGACGTCAGAGTAATTCTTCATCGTTATTCTCTCTGAGTAAAAAATACTAATTGGAAGTGTCTGACAACAGTTATAAAGCTGCTATTAATTTGGATAACAACACCGACGTTTCCCCCTAAAAAAAATGTATACTATATAAAATAACAAGTAAAAGAAAAAAGTTAATGGCTGTTCTTCCGAGCAGAATAACATTTTAATTATCGGCCTTATGGAAACTTTTAATGAAACTGATGACTATATTATTATTATTATTATTATTATTTTTCATGATAGCCCACAGGACACAGGTCATCGACCCACAACGGGGTAAAAATAGATGAGAAAATGTATTGTTATGATTAATGAATTATATCAAACAGCTTTGTATCTATAAGGATTTTAATATCTATTTTTTTAATTTAAACACACACACGCATATATATATATATATATACACTGGCAGGTCTGGTCCATAAACTGCAAAGGAAAATCACTCCTTACAAGTACGAGGGACACGTTAGACTGTATAAAATGGTCCCATGAAAA